AGAGGGGTGGCCTTGACGGGTGCCGGGGACCTGCCGCTGCGCCCACTGATACTGTCCTGCTCTCATGTTCCAGAGGAAGCTGCAGGACGCCATGGCAACATCCATGTCTCTGACGAAAGACATCTCCCAGAGGAAGGAGCTGCTGGCGAAAATGGAAAGAGAAGCCGCTCTGGTGGAGGAGGTAAGAGAGCAATTTGGGAGGCCCTGAAACTTCACTTGGGAGGACTCTTTTGAGGTGCTTTGTGTTGGATATGGATGCACATTTGAGGCCCAGCAGTGAGCGGGATACCTGTGTGCCTTTCTGGGTCTGAACAAGTCCCAGGGCTCCTGCCGGTGCCAGTGGGCACGGGCAGGTTTGCAGAGCAGGCCGTGTTGTGGATTTTGACCCTGGCTCCACAGGGACCTGCCGCTGGCTTCTTGAAACTCTGTTTCCTTGAACTTTTTATCAGCAGTGTCCTCCCCAGGGAGAAGCAGCACTGCTGTCATACCAGTCTGGGGACGCATAGCCTGGCGGGGACACCACAGCTTTGGGATCGTGTTCAGGGGGCTCCCTAGCAGTGCTGCCTGGCAGGGCTGGAGGCACCGGTAGATGCATTGCACTGCTCCCCTGCAGTGCCGGGGGTTTAATTTATCCTGCCTGCCTGCTTCCCTGGAGGACTGACCACCAGTTGGCAGAAGGACATTTCCCTGGGATCTCCTTGCCCTCTGTCCCTATTTTTCTGGCAGCAACGAGCCAAAGCTGAGAGTGTGAATCGGCAGCTGCAGAAACAGCTTTCAGACTGCAGCGTCCCTCCTGTGCTGAGTTACGTGCAGAAGAAGATGGCTGTTACTGGTCTCAGAAACAGCCTCAAGGCTTGGGAGAGGAAAGTGGCAGTTGCTGAGGTGAGCAAGACCGGGCTGGGTGTGCAGGAGCCCGTGTGCCAGCTGGGTGCTGGGTCCTGGTGGAGCTGTGTCTGTGCCTGCCCACCTGCAGCCATCGTGGGGACCAGAGTGCTCGCTCCTGACCCACCAGAAAGCCGTGTGAGAGTTCTCATGCGGCAGTTTCACTGGTGCCTGGCAGAGCCGGAGGCTTTTCCTGTTTACAGAGCAATGATCACTCCCTACCCCGAGGACTGAGGCTGAATTTTAATGACTGAGCTCAGAGGGGAAGCCAAAGCAAGGACACAGCTCGTAATGTGACAGGAAGCACCATTGGGCTGTTGCTATACTGAAACTTGTTGTGTGTGTAAGGAGAAGGGGACATACAGCAGCTCAATACGTTTCCGGCTCTGCATATGTAACCTGCACTGGCTTTTTCCAGCGCCCCCCATGGCTCCCCAGTGTTTGTAGTCCTCTTTGATGATCTCAAACATTTCGTACTCATATCTTAACTCCTCCTTAATAAAGAAAGGCTAGCCAAGATCCAAACATGAGTTCATGGCAAAGTTGCAAGAATATCTTTGACTCTCCTCCTGCCCCAACTCCTGCAGCCTGGGAGGAGATGGAGAGAGAGCAGCATAGTCAAAGCCTGGAGGTAGCAGGACATGTCTGTACCCCTGCCCCGTGTGGGATGTCTGTATGCACAGCAGTGTGGGGAGAGAACTGCCTGGGTTGGAAGGGACAGATAGTGTGGTCCTGTGCCTGGACACCCTGCTCGTCCTCGAGCGGAGATGGGCTTAGCTGTGGCTGGGATGGGGAAGGCTCTGGGTTTGTGCCTGTCCAGCACTTACCCCCTGGCACCCCAGTCCGCCAAGGACAGGGCTTATGTGGCCCAGCCTTTCTCAGAAGTCAGAACTGTGTGGATTTGGGCTTGACCCATCAGCGCCAGTGCTGTGGGTTCAGAAACAGGGGTCCGGCTGTGGCTACCCCAGAGTCGGTGGGCAGCCTGCCTGCAGGCCTGTCTTTGCGCAAGCAGGTGCCTTCTCAGCCAGCTGCTCCCTTTGACTGGCAGACCCAGGCTCTGGTTTGCGTGCTATCTCTGCAGCAGTGCCCAGGGTCCTGCCAGCCCAGTCCTGCAACAAGGGCTCAAGAGGATGAAGAAGGAAGCTGTAGTTGTCCCTGGGATAAGAGTGAGGCTGTAAACCTGTTTTCTTTGCCGGCCCCTCTGTGGCATGGCATGTCCAACACCCCTGCTGCCATGCGAGGGGCTGGAGGTTTCTATCCAGTGCTGTTGTGTGGGGCCTCCAGGCTTCCTGTGGCATTCAGGGGAGAAACCAAAGCTGGTGTAGACCTGCAGGAGCCCTCCTCAGCATGCCAGAGCGAGCGCTGATCTCAAGTGGGACGAGCAATACAGCAGCTCAGGCCAGGCTAGAGTCCAGCCTTGCAGCTTTCTCCACAACATATCACTGCTGTCTGCATGTATTAAGGCCTTTTCCTTTCTCTTGCAGATGTCCTTGCAAAGCTACTGCAGAGCATGGAATCAGGTCAAGATGTCTGGTAACCAGCACTAGGCTTGTCTGATGCTGCAAGGCAGGCAGGGGAAACTGCAGAAGGAGCCAACCCTGTGGGGAAGTTTGCTGTCAAGTGGGTAAATTAACACCCCACAAGCTGCAATGAGATTAAACCACTTCTGCATGAAATGATAAAGACACTCATGGCTCTGCTGTGAGGCCATTGCTTTGGTCTGTCCCAGCATGTGCTGGCTTCCACAAGGCTCTGCTGCCTGGCCCCTCCGCAGGCCCTGCAAGGTCAACCAGCTCTGCTCTGGGTGCTCCCCCCTCCCTCCATCACCACAAGCAGTTATTCTCTGGTCATCAAATCTGACATGTTCACAGGAATTGTCCTTTCTTTCTGGGCAAGCCCTGGTGACCACGTGATGCAGGAGGAACCAGAGGGGATTCCCTGGGAGACATGAAAGTTCAGCATCTCCGAGCGTGCACCAACAATAGAAGAGAGCAGAGCGGTGTGACCATATAGGGCAAATCATTTCAACACGGCATGCACAAAGCAAGCAGCCTTTCTGATTGCAAAAGGATTTACCTAAAGAAACAAAACAGCAAGAAGGGAGCAGCTACCCTTTCCCCAAGCACCTGGGGCAAGTTTAAGCATCCCTTGGAGATGGGAAGTGTTTTCCCACTGCAGGAATTATAAATCGTCTCAGATGGCCCAACCTCAGATGAGTTCAGGTCTGTCTTTCCCTTCCTGGGGTTGAAACCAACTTCCCGAAATATCCTCTCTACTGGTCTGGAAGCCTCTTCCCAGTCTTTGGGTGGAGCCTGCAGATCAACTCGCGGCCTGACCAGTGTTGGGAGTGCGGGAGGTCCTGTCCTCTCGGTCGTGGCCAAGATCCAGTCGCTGTAGTAGGACACTGGGGTGTACAGGAACGGTCCGTAGCATCTGACACCGCCCTCACTGAGAATGCCTTTCAGGACCCATTTCTCAGTCCCTCTAATCTGGCACATGACAGGGTTGCCGGCATCACCCTTTTGAGAGACAAAAAAGGCAGGATTGTGTCTCAGCAGTGTCCCTCTTGCCAGCACTCTCGGTGGCTGTGGACTTCACCAGTGTGAGAGGAGGGCAGATTACAGCAGTTCGGTCCTTTATCGTCACCGAAAGCAAAGCATCACCGATTCAGAGGTGCCCATGCCCCTGTCAGCCCAGCCCCATGCCTGATCCTTTCAAACATACCACATAGAACGCCTCTCGGATTGCCTCCCGAGCATCTTTGACCCTGAGCACACCCAAGGCCCTTGGAGGCCCCGGCAGCGGGAGAGGTCCAGGGACCAGGAGCAGCACCCGCAGGCCTGCACGGAGACAGTCACCCTGCAGAGATGGGTGTCACACATTCAGACAGTCTCCCACGCCTGCTATTTCCAAGCTGCGCAGAAGGGATCTTTTCCTTTGAGGACTGAGCAGAAGCCCAACAAGTGTTTTGGCTGCTCTCCCAGCCTGGGGTTGCAGATGAGCAGAACGGGGAGGAGGCGGTTTGACTAAATGTCTGCCCTGTCTGGGTTGGTGCGCTGTGTCCCTTACCAAACAGCCTGCCACATCATCGGCGTCCCTGTGGCTGCAGCATGCAGTTGCAGTGATCCTTTTCAGTGGGCAGGGATCCACATCCACCACGGAGAGCATCCTCAGGAAGTCACCGCAGCACTTTCCCCTGCCTGGCCGAGGGATCACTGTGAGCCTGTGGCTCTGGGCCTCCAAAAACCAGGGAGGGGTGACCAGTGGGTGCTTCTTCCTCCCAGGACAAGCCCTGTTCCCCTTCCTCCCATTGGGCCTGTTGGCAGGAGGAAGCAGGAAGCCAGCTCTGTCCTGCCAGAGGGAGCTCTTTGCCACAGGAGCCGGGGATTACCTGTGGTGGGATGGATCCAGCCTGAGACCCAGCAGTTCACAAGGTCTGAGGCAGAGAGGCTCCCATGGGGAAAGCAGATAGGTTGACTGATGCTGCTGAACTCCAGTGGGGCAGCTGTCCTGAGCAGAGCGATGTTGTTGTAGAGTGTCACCTCATCAAAGTCCTCGTGGGGGATGATAGAGCTGATCGAATACTGGGGCTGGTCCTCCCATCGCCTCTTCATGGCGCTCAGCCCAACCAAGGCCAGCACCTGCTGCCTGCAGGGAGTGGACAGAGGGGACTGGGGCAAACTGCCTGTCCCCGCTCTGACTGAAGGATGCTCGCCCAGCCCCAAGACCCACCCGAGCACTGGGAAGCGGTGTTATTCCCTGCTGATTCCCAAGCCTTGCCTGGGGCGACGCAGGGCCCCTCGCAGGGCACAGACCTGCTCCGTAGGCTGGATGCAGCACTGAGGATCCAGTGCTCGTTCAGGATGGAGCCGAAGGCCAGGAGGTTGTGCTGCGTGTCTTGCAGTGCCACCACCCACGGGAACTGGTCTGTGGCTGCAAACTCCTGCACTGATCTCCAGGGGGACGGGCTGGCCTGGATCCCACAGGCTGCAGGGAAACGGGGCATGTCGCTGGGTGCGCCTGGCCCTGTGCTCTCCCGCCGCCCTCCTCCTCCCTCTGAGGCCCCCTCGCCCCTAACCACAGCTGTCCCCAGCTTTGACCTTGTCTGGGACTGATGCCAGCATCACCCAGACTCACTCACATGTGGGGCCGAGCCGGTGGCATGGCGTGGGGTGCGCGAGGGTCAGATCGTGCCACCTCTTTCACTCACCTGATGCTGGGGTGGCACAGAGACACAGCAGGATGAGGCTTCGCATTCTTCCAGCCGGGCAAAGAGCTGGGGCTGGGGAGCCAGGGCCCCACTTCTCTGCCTGCCTGCGGGGAGAGGGGGAGATGGCGTGCTGGGTGCCAGCTGGCAGCTGGCCTGGAGGGGCTTGCTGTGCCTGTGCTGAGAGCTCTGGGCCAGTTCCTCGTCCTGGTACGTGGGCACTGCACGTCCCCAGCACGCTGGCAGCAGGCAGGGACCCAGGGAGACCCAACGGGCCCATTCCCAGCTCCCCAGCTCCCACCCCCTCTCCACGAGCCTCATCCTGCTGCACTCTGCCTGCTCCGTTACGCCCCTGCCAATACCCTGCTGGCCCCATGCTGCTCCCCCTGCTCGGCGCCCCGATGCTGCCGCAGTGCCCGGGCAGTGGGATGTGGGCACAAGCTGCTCTGTGAGCTCATCGTTGCTGTGGCAGGTCGCAGGCACCTTTCCTGCACGGTGGAGGCTCTTGCAGCCCATCTGCCTGCACAGAAAGGACCTCTGAGGCACAGCTCCTCCTGCCCTGGGCGCTGCTGGATGGTTTCTCCCGGGGACAGCCTGGGAGCTTCCTTTCTGCATGCCCACTGGAGTCTCTGCCCACCCTGGTCCCACTTGCAGGCAGAAGCAAGGGCAGCAGGAAGCAGGAGGAGCTCTGATGCTGCTTAAGGGGATTTATAAGAAACTGAAAGACCCCAAAGTGCATGGGGGCAGTGGTTAGGGAACCTGGAGGGTAGCAGGAGCACCACCAGGCTACAGCTGCCTGCGGCTTGGCTTTCCCACGGGGAGGTCCCGGTGGGGACAAAAACTCTATTCCCAGCTCATGAAAGGCTAAGTGTGCCTTTGGAGAGCAGGACAGAGAAGGTGGGATGGTATGAGGGATGTGGAAACTCACTCTATCAAGGATGAGAAAACTGTTGAGAAAGAAATGACAGTAGCCTTTGTATGCACTAATTAATAGCCACAGGTGGAAGGAGCTGGCGAGAGGCAGAAAGCAAAGGCGCTGGGGCTCCTGGAAGGCTGACATGCTTCCAGCAGGTTGCCCCTGGATCGTTCTTCTCCCTGGCGAGGCGTGCGGTGGCTGCGGATGCACATGCCCAGACCAACCCCTTGGACACCCTCTGCAATACTGGGGATAAGGACAGCCAAGGGGAAGGGAAACAGTGCTGGGAGCAGGCTGGAGGGAAATGCAGGTTCGTGTGCTTGTTTAAACCCATGTACAGACTGGGGCAGCATCAGCTGAACTGATTTCTTCACGACATTTGAATACATGTTTATTATATGCAGAATTAGCAAGGGCAGGGTCCACACCATGGCATGTTTGGGACAGGGACATCCCAGGGAAACCTCAGATGGTTTTTTCATGGTTGTCGTCTTCTCCCTAGATGTAGCCAGTTCTGCACATAGGAAATGCAGTGCTCTCTGTGTGTTCCTGCAGTAACTCTGTTAGTGCTCTCTGAGAAGGGCCCTTTGTGTGTATTTTCCCTGACTCTTGTGATGTTTGAAATGCCGTGGGAATCAGCTGGGAGGTGGCTGGTGATCCCCAGGCCTGTTTGTAGTTGGTTTGTGCCAAAAAGGGCCACTTAACCCTGCAAGAGCCAGAAAAATATCTCTGAGGTGGGTTTCACCCTGCCCTCCCCATGCCACTCCGAGGCTGGTCCCGATCACCAGCTGTTCCAACACGATGCTGGTGTCACCGCAAACAGAATGTTTCCAAAGGTGACGCTGGCAGCTGGCAGTGACGCTGCTTGAGCTGGAGGTGCCTGGCACCTGGCTCACTGTGAGCACAACTTGACTTCTTTCATGTTATCTGGATCCACAGGGGTCAAATCCAATTTGCATGAGACCAGGTGCTGGTGGAACCATGACCAGCCCATGTCCCTGGGTTGTGGGTCGGCCAGTTTGGTGACACCGGTCCCTTCCTGCTTTGCAGGTCTCAGAGGAAGTCAGCACTGCCAAAGCAGCATGACCCCCATGGCAGCACTCGCGGGCAGCACGGGACCCTTCCCGAGGCCAGCTCGAGTCCTTGCCCAAAGGACCAGCTGCCTCCTTGCCACTGCTGCTGGGAGACGGGCACCTCTTGTGGGGAACCGCAGCCTCTCAGCAGCCTGGCCACAACCTCGGAGCTAATGAGTTTTAAGCCCCGTGGTTAACGAAGCCGGCCTGACTCTGCATGGAGACAAAGCCTGGAGCCTGCCCCCAGCTCTGCCCCCAGCAAGCTGAACACGATGCTTCTGTGAGCTCGCACAAAGCCTCCCTTGTGCAGGAGGCGATCCAGCCAAACAAGTGATCTCCTTGGCTGCATGTCTCCTGGTGTTCCATCATTTATATTTGCTGGATTGTTCCCACTACAAAAATTTTACAAGCATCTGATAAAAATCTACTGACCACAGTAAAACGCCAAACCCAGCCAAACCAGTCTGTACAGCGTGACCTTCGCAGCCTTGGAGACACGTTCGTTCAGTTTGCCAGCTAGAAAAAGAAATGCTTGTGGTAGTGCAACACCGCCAGTGGGAAGACTTTGATTAAAGCTTGCGTTACCAAAGCATGGCGAGATGTTTAAGCGCCGAGTGCCCCTTCCTTCCCCAAGCCTGGTTCCCTGCTGTGCAACAACATGTCTCTTAAGTCGTCTCCTTGGCATTTTGTGCTGCTCCTTTTGTGTTTCCAGATCACATTGCTCCCCTTGCTGCTGGCCTTAGCGCTAAGGTCCTGACTCCCGGCTTCTGGGGACAGCCCTTCTGGCTGGGTGCCCAGCAGGAACAATGCACTTTGTCTTTGCTGAGGAACTCTGCGAGAAAACAACTTTTGGCCACTGATGCCTTCAAGTCTTACAGGATTACTCACTCATTGGAACCATCTATGAGTATTCCTGTAAGACTTCCAGTGCCATGACGGGTGGTTTTGGTTCTGTGCTGGAGGCAGCAGCTGCAATGGAGGCTCCCATGGCAAAGGTGTGCACAGCCTGGATGGGTCAGGTACCAGCGTGCACGGCAGAATGAGGCCACTAGCATGTTCCTCTTGGTTGAATTCATTTTGGCAGGGAGCGAGCACACTCATCTAACAGCCAGAGATGATGGTGTTTGCCATCCTCAGAGACGGTGGCTTGCGACTGTGTGGCCAGTAGTGAATGACTCCAGGCAAGCAGAGCTGTTGCAGAGGAGATCTGCTGTGTGGCTGACTTAGCCAGCTCCATGGCTTGCATACATCTCTGGATGGGAACCTTGCTGCATTATCAGAGCACACACAGAGACCATTGAGGCTGTTGCTTCAATGCTGGCTGGCATCTGCAGGGAGCAGCATGGTGATGGAGAGGGCACCAAGTGACCCAAGAGACATTTTGTGAGTTGGCTCAATACCTTTTGAAGGACACTGGAATCAGTGGACCCTTCCAGTCCTGTCCCACATAAAATCCCTCCCTCCCAACAAGAACAGAGGACAGCAAATAAAAAGAGAGGGAAGGTATTAAGGCAGAAGAGGAAGTGTCTGAGAAGGCCTTTGTTCAATGTTATAACAACGGTGCAAAGGACTGATCCAGGATAAATCCACCTTGCTGGCTCAGATTTGCTCACACATGTCAGTGGGGTAATGTTTCACTAGGAGGCTTTACACCAGATCAACCACCCTTCAGCCACTTACACACAAGAAGTGACCAAGACACAGATCCTTGCAGCTCCCACAACTCTGCTCGACTCCCCCACCTTCACTGTGGACAGACACCAACCTGCAATTCTTTATTTTTCTCTCTGTAGCCAGATGGGAGTTTTACAGCCTCGGTAGATTCTTCCATACTAAGGCTAAGGGTACTTTGAACCTGAAGTTGTATTGCCAGCTATGTTTTGTGTAGAAAGGAAGGCAGAAAGTAGAGGTTCTGGGCAGGTCAGAGGACAAACAGTGTCCAAGCTGAGTCCTTCTGGCAGTGGATGATGTAGTAGTCCTGGAAGTACAGCAGCACCATTAGAGGAGGGCCCAGGACCAGGCTGATCCCACAGGAGCATGTTATTCTAGCAGCCATCAAAAAGCCATTTCCACAGGCAGGACAGTGGGATCTGTCAGGAAAAGCAAACAGCAGTCACTAGCAAAAGGTTGGTCAGTCGGTAATACCATTCCCTAAGGGATGTGCATGCCCTTAACCAGAGGACAGATCCATACCGAATTAGCTTTTCTATTATAAGGATGATGACTCAATTTATTTCTAAAGGGTGCCCTTGCCAAAGGGCTCTGTGTCTGTGTGCTTCATAATAAAACAATTAAAAACCCCATTAATGCTAAAATCTTACCAGGCTAGCACAGAAAGGAGAAGTAAAGGGTCTTTCCCTTCCCACAAAGCCAAGAGCTGCCAAATTTACAAGCATCATGGGCATGGGAAGAGTTTGGAGTTATTTTTTTAAGTCTGGAAAAGTTTAGATGGGAAGGATTACAGATGGCCACGGGTTCTGCACTCAGAAATCATTGCTGTTTGACAGATTATTACACTGAGGAGATCTGCCTCCAGACAACGCTCAAGAACTTTCAAATTAGTGGCAGGCTCACTGCAGCTTGGGTGACCTAATCCACCCTCACCGGGCTGGTTACAAACCCCTTCTGGCTCTGGTCTCACTTGCTGAGACTGGAACTTCAGGTATAAATGGCTCAAAAATCTGATTTGTGTTTTCTCACCTCTCCAGTGGCTCCAGATGTTAGGCAAAGCCTCCAGACAATGAGGAGGTACGTTCCCGATGGCCTTACGAACGAGGGATGCTGGATGCTTGGCTGGTTTTTGTGACAACGCAGGAATTATGCTGCCATGGAGCACTCCATCCTGAAACATCCTTCGCAGTCTTGCCTGTTTTATTCATGTCAGAAAATCAAAATTGACAATTTTTAACTACCAGCCTAAAACTACTTGAATGTGTTTTAATTCTTAAATATCATTAAAATAACAGTAGCAAGAGCTCTGTGATCAGTGCCCTGACAGATTAATGTTTTCTGGCAGATTCCTCATTTTAATGTCAATCTTCCAATACCTGAGATAGCACA